AGCTTGAGGCTCTGTCTCAAAAAAAAAAAAAGAACCCGCCAGCCTTGGTGTATGTGGCTGATACCATAACCACTGTGCTATGGCACCAAGCCTTTTTTTTTTGAGACAGAGTTTCACTTTGTGCTCTTGGTAGAGTGCTGTGGCATCATAGCTCACAGCAACCTCTAACTCTTGATCTTAAGCAATCCTCTTGCCTCAGTTTTTCATTTTTAGTAGAGTCGGGGTCTCGCTCTTGCTCAGACTGGTCTCTAACTCATGAGCTTAAACAATCTGCCAACCTTGGCCTCCCAGAGTGCTAGGATTACAGGTGTGAGGCACCTTGCCTGACGAGAACATTCTCTTTAGTAAAGTATCACAAGAATGCACAAGCAAGTATCCAACGTACTCAATATTATTAAGAAGCCAGCAGATGAACCAATATATGCCCACACAAGACAAAAACTCAATTTAATTCAAGGGAGGAATTCAAGGGAGGAGGGGTAGGAAAAAGGGCAGGATAGAGGGATAGGGAATGGTGTACTACCACTTAACAGACACAATGTAAGGGTATATGGCACACCTCCTCAGTGCAGGACACAACTACAACAGGGACCTTACCTAACAAAAACAAGCATTGTAACCTAATCATTTGTACCCTCATATTAATCTGAAATTTAAAAAAAATTTGTAAATCGCATGTCTGATAAGACAATACCAAATCAGAAGATAACAAGCATGGATGATGATGTAGAAAATTAGAACTTTTGTGCACAGTTGGTGAGAATGTAAAAACGGTGAAGCCACGATGAGAAATTATATGATAGTTGCTCAAAAAATTAAACATAGGCCAGGCACAGTGACTCACTTCTTTAATCCTAGCACTCTGGGAGGTGGGTTGGGTGGGTTGCCTGAGCTCAAGAGTTCAGACCAGACTTAGCAAGAATGAGACCCCATCACTACTAAAAATAGAAAAACTTAGCCAGGCATTGTGGCGGGCACCCGTAGTCCCAGCTACTTGGGAGGCTGAGGCAAGAGAATTGCTTAAGCCCAAGAGTTGGAGGTTGGTGTGAGCTGTGATGTCACAGCACTCTACCAAGGGTGACTGTCTCAAAAAATAAAATAATAAAATTTAAAAAATAGGAAAACTATTTGGGCGACGTGGGCGACTGTACACCCAGCTACTTGGGAGGCTGAGACAAGGGAGTTCTTGAGCCCAAGAGTTCGAGGTTGCTATGAGCCATGACACCATGGCATGCCACCCCAGGGTAACTGAGACTGTCTCAAAAAAAAAAAAAAATTAAACATAGAATTACCAAGTAATCCAGCAATTTCAGTTTCCTAGCACTCTGGGAGGCCAAGGCAGGTGAATTGCTTGAGCTCAGGAGTTCCAGACTAGCCTGAACAAGAGTGAGACCCAGTGTCTAGAAATAGCCAGGCATTGTTGTGGGCGCCTGTAGTTCCACCTACTTCGGAGGCTGAGGCAAGAGAATTGCTTGAGCCCAAGAAGTTTCTGTGAGTTATGATGCCAAGGAACTCTACTGGGGAGGAGCAACCCAAGTGTTAATGGATGAAAGAATAAGCAAAATGTAGTAAATATATACAATGGGATATTATTTACCCTTGTAAAAGGCAAAAATTCTAACATATACAACAACAGAAATGAACCCTGAGGATTGGCTAAGTAAAATAAGGCAGTCACAAAGAACAAATGATTTCATTTACATGAGGTACTTACAGCAGACAAATTTATAGAGACAGAAATTAGGATCATAGTTTCTAGGGGCTAGAGGAAAGGAGGTTTTGGGAAATTATTTGATGGGTATAGATTTTAGTATAGAATAATGAAAAAAAAAATCTAAGAATTGGGCAGTGCCTGTGGCTCAGTTAGTAGGGTGCCAGCCCCATATACCAAGGGTGGTGGGTTCGAACCCAGCCCGGCCAAACTGCAACAAAAAATAGCCAGGCGTTGCAGTGGGTGCTGTAGTCCCAGCTACCCAGGAAGCTGAGGCAAGAGAACTGTCTAAGCCCAAGAGCTGGAGGTTGCTGTGAGCTGTGATGCCACAGTACTCTACTGAGGGCGACAAAGTGAGACTCTGTCTCTTAAGAAAAAAAAAAAAAAGAAAAACTTTCCTTTGATCAAGTTTTTCTAAACTGACTGATTTTGTTGTATTTTACCTGTCTGGGGAAATAGAATGCAGTGGCTGAGTGGGGTGACTCACGCCTGTAATCCCAGCACTTGGGAGGCAGAGGTAGGTGGATTGCTTGAGTTTACAGGTTCAAGACCAGCCTGAGCCAGAGCGAGAACTCATCTCTAAAAATAGCCAGGTAATGTGTAGTCCCAGCTACTTGGGAGGCTGAAGCAAGAGAATCTCTTGAGCCCAAGGTGTGTGATTGCTGTGAGCTATGACACCACAGCACTCTACCCAGGGCAACAGCTTGAGACTCTGTCTCAAAAAAAGAAAGAAAGAAAAGAGGGTGGCACCTGTGGTGCAAAGGAGTAGGGCACCAGCCCCATATGCCGAAGGTGGCGGGTTCAAACCCAGCCCCAGCAAAAAACTGCAAAAAAAAAAAAAAAAAAGAAAGAAAGAAGAGAAAAGAAAATAGAATGCAGTATGGCCTTAATTCTTTGGGGTCTGTTTGGTTGTCATATATATATATATGTTTTGTTTGTTTGTTTTGCAGTTTTTGGCAGGGGCTGGGTTTGAACCTGCCAAACCTGGTGTCCTACCCCTATGAGCCACAGGAGCTGCCCTGGTTATTTGTTATTTAAATCCTTATCCTCATTATCCTTGGATTTCTCTTAGCCAATAAGCCCCTCTCATCCCTTGAAGTGTTCAGGTGAAATTAAAGGAACTAGAATTCACTTTTTTCTTTAGATTTCACCACTTTACAAAAGAGCTAGGTTTAGAAAGTAATCTATGTTCCCTTGGGTAAGTAATTGTGAACAAATGAAAACATTGACTGAAATTAGATATTGGTATTAGTTATAGACTTTAGTTTTATTGTTTTTAATGTTAGAGACAGGGTCTCACTCTTGCTCAGGCTGGTCTTGAACTCCTGAGCTCAAGCAATCAGCCCATCTCAGCCTCCCAGAATGCTAGGATTACAGGCATGAGCCACTGTGCCTGGCTATAGACTTTAATTTTTCCCACTATGTTAATCAGTAGCACATGATTTATTTCTTAAATGGTTTGATTAATTCTGATATGAAGAAATTAATATCAAATTGGAGGTAACTAGCCATAAAGTCAGAGTCAGGTGAAATTGTCATTTGACTCCTGGTGCTGTATTTCATGCCACTCTGAGAGGCCGAGGTGGGTGGATTGCCTGAGCTCACAAGTATAAGACCAGCCTGAGCCAGAGGGAGACCCCATCTCTAAAAATAGCCGGGCTTTGTGGCAGATGCCTGTAGTCTCAGCTATTTGGGAGGCAGAGACAAGAGAACGGCTTGAGCCCAAGAGTTTGAGACTGCTGTGAGCTGTGATGCCACAGTAATCTACTGGGGGCTACAAAGTGAAAGATTCTGTCTCAAAAAGAAAAGAAAAGAAAAAGAAAGAAAGAAAGAAAGATAAAGAAATTGTCATTTTAAGTCAAAGTTACCATAAACACAATCAAAGATTATAAATGTAAAGCGATTTCTAAAATAAAAAAAAATGTACCTGATCATAGAAAGTTAAAAAAAATTACAATTTGTAAACTACTATTGGCACACTACTTGCCTCTCTGGCTCGGTGGAGCTGTGCTTGCTCAATCTTAGAGATGATGCTTTTTACAGAGAATGAGACATCAAGCGCTGGGACTTCAGGGAAGTTAAGGACCTTTCTGGGATTTCTTGTGATGAGAGAATCTTTGTCTTCTTTTTCTGACTCAGATTCATCTTCTGTCTCAGTTTCCATGTTGGCCAGCATTTCAAAAATTTAGCTGAATTTCTTTTATTTCTTCTTTTTCACAGAATATAGGCAAATGCTAAAACAGGTATCCACTACAAGCTAGAAGAGGTCTTTCCTGCTCCCAGAGGTTGTGGCTCACCTTGCTATTAACTGGTTGCTTACCTCCAGTATTACAGTCCTGGTGCTGTCACAATGGAATCATTGTGACATTATCATTGACTCAAACATTTAAAGAGTTCTTACCAAATGCAGAGAAATAGACATTCTATATGCTGTGATGGTAGAGGGTGAAGGGGGGAGGGAGGGTAGGAAAGAATAGAGAACACAAAAGTTAAAAGAAATAGAAGTTATAGCCTTGCTTAAAGTTCAGGTGTTAGAATTCAAGATCCAGTGTATCAAATGTAACTCCTGGTTCTTCTCTCTTCCTGGGGTTTTGCTTAAGTATTTTTAAGCCTGTAATGGAATAAGTGTTTTACAACTTCTACAGCTGCCCCTTAACTTTCCCTAGACATGCAGTAACTTGGAAGATAATTGGATGAAGATCACACTCTTTGCACTGCTCAGTTCCTCCTTTTTTCAAGGAACCTGATTGAAGAAGGCTTTCAAATTACATAGCTGGCTCAAGAAATTGAAGGGAACTCTAGAGGCTGCTTGCTAACTGAAAAGAGTAATACTTTGGGGCAGCTCCTTTGATTGCACAGGAGACTGGAGCAGTTGAAGGACAGGGTGGTTTTGTTTGCTGTGTAGCTTTTTTTTTTTTTTTGAGACAGAATCTCACTTGGCTCGGCACCTGTGGCTCAAGTAGCTAAGGCGCCAGCCACATACACCTAAGGTGGCAGATTTGAATCCAGCCCGGATCCACCAAAAACAACAATGGCGGCTGCAACCAAAAAATAGCTGGGCATTGTGGTGGGCGCCTGTAGTCCCAGCTACTTGGGAGGCTGAGACAGGAGACTCGCTTGAGCCCAGGAGTTGGAGGTTGCTGTGAGCTGTGATGCCACAGCACTCTACCCAGGGGGATCACTTGAGACTCTGCCTCAAAAAAAAAAAAAAAGAGAATCTTTCACTTGGTTGCCCTCAGTAGAGTGCTGTGCTGTCACAGCTCACAGAAACCTCAAATTCTTGGACTTAAGTGATTCTCTTGCTTCAGCCTCCCAAGTAGCTGGGACTACAGGCAACTGCCACAATGCCTGGCTGTTTTCATTGTTGTCATTGTTTTATTTATCTATTTATTTATTTAATTGAGACAGAGTCTCATTTTGTCACCCTCAGTAGAGTACTATGGAGTCATAGCTCACAGCAACCTCAAACTTTTGGTCTTGCCTCCCTAATAGCTGGGAATATAGGCACCTGCCAGAATACCTGCTATTTTTTTTTTATTTAGCAGGCCCAGGGCTGGGTTCCAACTTATCAGTCCAAGAACATGTGGCTGGTGCCCTAACTACTGAGCTATGCTACGGGTGCCAAGCCTGCTGCATAGCTCTATTTGTTAATGTTAAAAAGTATAAAAGTTAAAAAAAAACAAAAAAAAAAACAGCTATGTGATCATTACCTAGCATGCACAAATAATAACATTTGTCATTTTTGCTGCAGATTAAAATTTATTTTAATTTTTTAAAATTTATTATTATTATTGTTATTATTGAGACAGAGTCTCATTTTGTCACCTGAGCTAGAGTGCCATGGCCTCCGCCTAGCTCACAGCAACCTCAAACTCCTGGGCTCAAGCAGTTCTCCTTCCTCAGCCTTCCAAGTAGCTGGGACTGCAGGTCCCTGTCACCATGCCCAGCTGATTTTTCTATTTTTAGTAGAGACAGGGGGTTTGATTTGCTCTGGCTGGTCTGGAACTCCTGAGCTCAAGGGATCCTTCCACCTCGGTGTCCCAGAGTGCTAGGATTAAAGGCGTGAGTCAGCACGCCTGGTCATTTTATTTTATTTATTTTATTTTTTTGAGACAGAGTATCAAGTATTGCCCCGAGTAGAGTGCTGTAGTGTCATAGCTCACAGCAGCCTCCAACTCTTGAGCTCAAGTGATCCTCTTGCCTCAGTTTTTCTATTTTGGATAGAGACAGGGGTCTCGCTTTTGCTCAGGCTGGTCTCCAACTACTGAGCTCAAGCAATTCACCCACTTTGGCCTCCCAGAGTGCTAGGATTACAGGTGTGAGCCACCACACCAGCCTTATTTTTAAATTAAAAAAGCGTTAGAGAAAAAGTCTCCTTGCCCTCCCCAGATTCCTTCCTTCCCCTCAGTCCTATTTCAGAGAAAATGACAATGATGAATTTGATATATTTGTGTTTAGTGTGTTTTTATATAGTTTTACTATAGGTGTATGTATTCATAAACTATATAGTATCATGTATAGGTTTTAAATTTTATAGAAATTGTTGATATATAACTTCATTTCTCTGCAAGGTCTTCCTTGAGTTTAGGTGTAAACTTATTGTAAAATTAGTCTTTGTTGAGTCCTTGTTGTAAATTTGTAAAATTAAAACACTTATGTGCTTCAGTCCTTTAGGAAAATGGGGGGAGATCATAAAGTATTTGTCTTTTAAAGGATATCAGTCAGTATATAGAGAGCAAATTAAGTATTTTCCTTTCTTTTTATTCTTTTTCGCCTTTAGACTTCCAATTATATTTTCCCTTTCCTTATATATATATATATTTTTGTTTGTTTTTGTTTTTTTTTTTTTGCAGTTTCTAGCTGGGGCTGGCTGGGTTTGAACCCGCCACCTCTGGCATATGGGGCCGGTGCCCTACTCCTTTGAGCCACAGGTGCCACCCCCCTTTTCCTTCTCTTTAAGATCTTATCTAAGTTATTCCTTCCTCTATGTTCCCCAAAACACTTTATGAACCTTTTGTTATAGTACTTATTGAAGTGTAACTATTTATTTGTCTCTGTCAATTAGCTGTGATCTCAAGACCAAATGCAGTACTTTTTGTTTTTTCCTTACATTTGATGCCTTCTTCATTAGTTCTTCCACAAAAACTGTCTAAAATATGGATACCCATTATAGTTTTGGATTCTTCTCCTTATGGAAACTATTCGAAGCTTCAGAATACTTTTTTTTTTTTGAGACAGAGTCTCAGCCCTTTTGAGACAGAGTGCTATAGTGTCTGTCACAGCTCACAGCAACCTCAAATTCTTTTCTCTTGCCTCAGTCTCCCAAGTAGCTGGGACTACAGGCGCCCACCACAATGCCCAGCTATTTTTTTTTGTTGTTGTAGTTGTTGTTGGTTTAGCTAGCCCAGGCTGGGTTCGAACCCGCCAGCCTCTGTGTACATGGCCAGCACCCTACCTGCTGAGCTACAAGCGCAGCCCAGAAAACTTTAATTTTTTTTTAGACAAATCTCTTGCCATACACCCTGCAGTCATAAAACATGACTCTTCTTTCCCATAAATCACAAGTGAGTCTATTTACTCAAAAGCAGTTTATATAAAGTTTTCAGAAAGGACCACACTTAAGGAGGTTCATTATAAATATGAGGTCTAATTAAACTACTTATCATTATTCAGCATTTCTTGACATTATCAATGAACTTATTTAAGTACTTTGTTGATAATAATAGTAGATTATGAGATCCTTAAATAATGTTCCCTTGCATTGCTTATCCTACTAGGCATTCACAAGGCAGACCAAATCTTTGTCAACTAAACTAATTTAGCATTATTACTCTCCTCTCTCTCTCTATTTTTCATGCAGCATGGACTTCACTAAAATCAGCAACTGGAAATGAAACCTTGTAAAGAAAATTTTTAAATCCTCCTTCCCTTTCAATTTGACAAGCTTTTGTTGAAACACTACCATGCAGCTGCCATTATCCTAACCTAAGCTGAAGAACTGAAGTATATATGATAGGGCTCCTGTGAAGAAACTAAAAATAAAAAAAAAAAATTAAGATAGAGTACAATAATCAAGTGCTAACAAGGGACATGAAGAAGAGATCTGTGGGGAGCAGAGTCTTTGGGAAAACCTTATGGAGAGAGAAGGTTGACTGACAAATGAAGGCAATACAGATAGGGAAGACACCTTGAGCCATGGCTTCGGAGGTGAGTGCTAATGAGTTTGAATCTTAGGGGAAAAGTGAAATTTGTTTAATCACTGAGATGAATTTACCGGCGATTAGATTAGGGTGGGCTGGACATATCAGCAGTTTGATGGTGGAATGAATTTGATATTTAATGTGTTACTTGGTTCACTGTAAACATTTCACATTGTGTATCGAAGCAGTACCCTGAACCTCATAAATGCATCAACATACAAAGTTACGATTTATTTTTTTTTTAAAGAGAAGCAAGCTTTATTTATTTATTTATTTATTTTTGAGATAGAGCCTCAGGCTGTCGCCCTGGGCAGAGTACTGTGGCATCACAGCTCACAGCAACCTCCAACTCCTGGGCTTAAGTGATTCTCCTGCCCCCATCTCCCAAGTAGCTGGGACTACAGGTGCCTACCACAATGCCCAGATATTTTTTGGTTGCAGCTGTCATTGTTGTTTGGCAGGCCGGGGCTGGATTTGAACCTGCCAGCTCAGGTGTATGTGACTGCGCCTTAGCTGCTTGAGCCACAAGCATCGAGCCCAAAGTTATGATTTAATAAAAAATAATTAATTATAAAAAAAAGAACTAGGGCTCAGTGCCTGTGGCTCAAGTGGCTAAGGCGCAGCCACATACACCTGAGCTGGCAGGTTCAAATCCAGCCCCGGCCTGCCAAACAACAATGACAGCTGCAACCAAAAAATATCTGGGCATTGTGGTAGGCACCTGTAGTCCCAGCTACTTGGGAGATGGGGGCAGGAGAATCACTTAAGCCCAGGAGTTGGAGGTTGCTGTGAGCTGTGATGCCACAGTACTCTGCCCAGGGCGACAGCCTGAGGCTCTATCTCAAAAATAAATAAATAAATAAATAAATGATGGCTGCAACTAAAAAAAAAAAAAAAAAATAGCCGGGCGTTGTGGTGGGCGCCTGTGGTCCCAACTACTTGGGAAGCTGAGGCAGGAGACTTGCTTGAGCCCAGAAGGTGGAGGTTGATGTGAGCTGTGATGTCACAGCACTCTACCCAGGGGGACAGCTTGAGGCTCTGTCTCAAAAAAAAAAAAAAAGAATTAGATATCTAAGTGTGAAAGTTAAGAGATTTACTAAAGCAAAGATTACACTGGATGAGAATGGGGAGGTCTTGAAAGTAAGTCCTTTCATTTGGTAAAAATGCAATTTGGAAGGCCAAGGTGGGTGGATTGCTTGAGCTTAGGAGTTGGAGAACAGCCTGAGCAAAAGGGAGACCCTGTCTGTAAAAAAAAAAAAAAGAAGAAGAAAAAATAGCGGGGGCGTGTGGCAAGCTCCTGTAGTTTCAACTACAGAGGCAGAGGCCAGAGAATAGCCTAAGTCCTAGCCTGAGCCCAAGAACTGCTGTGAGCTCTGACGACACAGCTCTCTACTGAGGGCGACAAAGTGAGATTCTGTCTCAAAAATAAAATAAAATAAGGACTTTGGATCATCTAACAAAAAGATAAAAAGAAAAACATTTAAAGATAAAAATATAATTTTAAAAATTGTTCTATTTTACAAGGGACACGAATAATTTTACAATAAAATTATAGTATTTTATTTGGATTAATGGTACAACAATGAATAGGCTACCCAGACTAAGTATTATTAAGTAGCATTGTATGTATTAAGCTGAAGGAAATGTAGGTACCTACATTGATTAGATAGGTACCTACATTGATTCAGGCGAGCATGGGGCAAAGTTCTTTAAAGGTGTGTCTAGGGTAGCGTGCCCTCCTAGAGGGCTCTTTTAATTGTAAAATAGGAGATATTTATTGCATAGCATTGTTTCAAGATTAATGTGCGTAAAGCGCGCAGTAGTGTCGCACTTAATATATAGTAGCTGCTACTCATATACTTACTACTACTACACATTTTTTTTCCTGTCCACTTTTTTCTGCGAGTCACGTTTTCGCCAAAGTCGGGCGTTTGTTCAGTACACTTTGTGCAAGATCGGCTTTTTTTAATCAGATCTAGATTACGAACTATGAGACGGCGCGTTATTAGGGCTGTGGCAGTAAGCTGTTTAAAACGCGTCAATAAGATTTTTACACACCAGAATGGTGTCTCCTTCTGATCCCCCCGCCCCGCCAGACGATAGTACATTCCACATTGCTACTGGCAAAGGTGAGGCAAGTGTCGAACGCTCAGAGGGCTTTCTCTCCTCCCGGAAGCAATTTTGCTAGACCCGGAAACAGTTGCTATTTTAAGTGGGGGTGGGATTGGGCGGGTCGGGCCTCGGCGGCTGACGGCGGGGGAGGAGCCGGGTCCACTGCCGGGTGGAGGGGCAAAGCGAGTGTCCTTATCCTAGCAATTGGGGCTCTGGGCCTGTAAGCCAGTTGGAGTCGCGGCGGCGGGAACGACTGGGCCGAGCGGAGGAAAACATGTTGCTTTTCGTGGAGGTGAGTGGATTTGGTAGTCTCCTCCTGCTCTGAAGAGAACAGGAGTGTGGAGGCGCCGGCCGGTCCCACCGCCATGTGACTTTCCAGGCCGTACACGCCGCGGAACCGGCAGATAGGCTGACACAGCACCTGGGCCGTGCAGGCCTGCGGCTCTACTCTGCGCGCTCCGAACACTTTAGGAAGCTGTGGGAGGCGAGGCCCGTGGAGGGGGAGAATTGAAGGTGGAGCATTGGAGGCTTGTCTGGTGTGGCGTGAGGATCTGGGGATGGGGAAAGTGTCCCGAGTGGACCTCTTCTTAAGGGAGGCGAACTGGCGGGGGTGGGGAGGCGGAGTCCGCCTGCGTAAAGAGTAATAGGTGGGCGCGTTTGGGGGACGGGGGAGGGGAAGCGAGGCCTCGCGGGGGCCCCGAGAGGGAGGCAAGCAACATGTGGGGCCGCGGAGGGAGGAAGGTGAATTGCGGGGAGTGTTTTGAGAAGAAAATGGAAAACTACTTTTTAGCAACCTCCACTAAATTTTGTCGGGTCCCCGTACCTAGGTCTCTGGAACGTTCTGTGGGTGAAAGCGAGCCACTTTGAATCGAGGAGAAGCCAATAGGCTTTGGAAGCCTTGAAAGGCACCGCTTTGACCTTTTGTAAAAGTTACTCAGGCAGCGGCTGCCTGATAGAGGGTTGGTTCTATGGACCTATTACAAACCCTTTACAAGGAAAATTCCAAGAAGGAGAGAAACCTATTCCAGTAAATGCCGTTTTCAGTATTATTTGAACAATAGAAATACTTTTATTAATTTAACTAGAACGTCTGCTGTTGGCCTATTTTAGATTTCACAGTAGTGGATACCTGCCTTACATAAATACAAAGTATAAATTTCTCTTATATTCGGTCTTCCTGTGTGCAGTGAGCATCAGCTGACTGCCTGGCTAATGCTTTGAGTAGATTCCAGATCATATTGTTCTTACATTGTGAAAACGTCAAACCAGCAAAGCTGCAACTTCGCAGCTTGGCATTTGTTAACTATGCCCATAAAAAGAAGCTTTTAATGAGAGAAGGAATTTATTTACAGGTTGTATATTGGTAAAGTTGCCAGGGCCAGCCTATGGAGGTTATTTTTTCTTTTTTTTCCGATTGTGGTGGGAAATCTTATTCCATAATATTATAGCATAAATTAAATAAATGATTTTGCTTTTTTTTCCTTTGGTATTATGTAGCTGTTGAGTTATTTTTTAAAAGTGATATCTTAGAATCTATCCATTATTAGTAATAAGCATTAAGTGGAATATTCCAGGCAAATCATGAGAAGATTTAAAATTACTGAAGTCATTCTGTTTGCCGTTTTTATTCTCCTTGTTTTCATTTGGCAGAATAAGAAATCAACCATGATTTCAAGCAGTGCCAGTTTGTTTTAGGAATGTTGTGTCAAGCAAACATCGCAAGTTTTGAGTATGTATGTGTTTGCTGGACAAAAGAATTGTGAACTTTGATTTATATCAACATGAATTCCAAAATAAGCTTTTGAGTTCCAAATTGATTTCTTTGGCTTATTAAAATGTGAACTTTCGTAATAGCTTCATTTATTTGAGCTAGGTTGTTTCCGGTCTCTCAAGCAACATTGCAGTGTTTTTCAGATGAGAAAACTGAGGTAGAAAGGTTAAGTAACTTTATTTTATTTATTTATTTATTTTGAGACAGAGTCTCACTATGCTACCCTCGGTAGAGTGTTGTGGTGTCCCAGCTCACAGCAAACCTCAAACTCGTGGGCTTAAGTGATTCTCTTGCCTCAGCCTCCCAAGTAGCTAGGGCTACATACGCCCACCACAAGACCTGGCTATTTTTTGGTTGTAATTGTCATTGTTTGGCAGGCCCCGGCTGGATTCGAAACCGCCAGCTCTGGTTTAAGTGGCTGGAGCCTTAGCCACTTGAGCTACAGACACGGAGCCGGTTAAGTAACTTTACTTAGTAAAGTACTGGAACTGGGATTTAGATCAAGTCATTCTGATGTCAAATCATGGACAGGCTTAGCAATTCAGGCCTGTCTGACTCCAGTTTAGACAAACTCTACTATATCTCTAAACTGTTATTTAGAGTTAATATTTCCATTAATCATTTTCTTTGTGAATCGGTATACTATTCTTTATTTTTCTCATATAATGAGTTTTATTGAAAATTAACAGTGTTGGCTCAGGTGGTGGCTCACGCCTTTAATCCTAGCATAGGCTGTGAATATGTGGTATTAAAATCATTCAAAAACAAAACATTTGTTATTTTGTTAGCTAATACTTGATCCTTATAACCTCATGATATATAGGAGTTGTTCTTATCGAGGGAACCAAAGCTCAGAAGTTAGATGTCTAAGGTCATTCAAGTGTAAATAATGTGGGGACTAAAGTCTGAAGTCTTGTTTTCTAGGACACAAGTGTCTGGCTCCAAAACTTAACTTTTGCACTTTCCTTTAAGCCGAGGGTTCTTAATCTGATTTTTGGATGGAATTGAGGAAGTGTGTGAGCTTGATTGAGGGAAAAAAATTGCCTGTTTATTTTCACGAGCTGCTAACTGAAATCTAGAAGGAAAGAAAACGAAAATTCTTTAAAATTCAGTGGAGGCAACAGTGTTTGTGACCTTGTCACCAAAAGAAATAATCATATTTCATATCATGTTACAGTATTTTCAGATACATTGGAATGTTGTTTATGCTTATTACTCCTTGTTATTATATACTTAAAAATCTTGTTTGTTAGTCGGGTGCGGTGGCTCAAGATGGTAATCCTAGCACTTTGAGAGGCTCAGGCGGGAGGATTGCTTGAGGCCAAGAGTTCAAGACCTACCTGGGCAACATTATACGACCTCATTACAAAAAAAAAAAAAGGCCCAGCATAGTGGCTCACACCTGTAATCCCAACACTCTGGGAGGCTGAGGTGGGTGGATTGCCTGAGCTCATGAGTTCCAGACCAGCCTGAGCAAGAGCAAGACCCCGTCTCTAGAAAAAATAGCCCGATGTTGTGGGGTGCCTGTAGTCCCAGCTACTTAGGAAGCTGCGGCAAGAGAATCGCTTGAGCCCAGGAGTTTAGGTTGCTGTGAGCTGTGATGCCACAGCACTTTCCCAACGGGAACAAAGTGAGACTCCGTCTCAAAAAAAAAAAAAAAGTTAGCCAAGCATGGTGGAATGCTCCTGTAGTCCTAGCTACTTGAGAAGCTAAGGCAGGAAGATTGCAATTTTAAAACATTTTGATAACTGTATTTTAATATATTTGGTTTACTTTGTGATCCTTTGTATTTCATAAATTTAAAAACATTCTGAGAAGAGACTCATAGCTTAATCAAACTAGTAAGGAGATCTGTTTCACAAAAGAGGTTAAGAATGGCATTATTGGGTGCCTGTAGAACAGTGGTTATGGCACTGGCCACATGCACCAAGGGTGGTGGGTTCAAACCTGGCCTAGGCCAGCTAAACAACAACTGCAACAACAAAAAGTAGCCGGGCGTTACGGTGGGCACCTGTAGTCGCAGCTACTGGGGAGGCTGAGGCAAGGAATTGCTTATGCCCAGGAGTTTGAGGTTACTGTGAGCTGTGATGCCAAAGCACTCTACTGAGGAATAAGTTCTACGGTTTATTTACTTATTTATAAGTGGGACAGAGACTCACTATGTCACCCTTGGTCATAGCTCACAGTAACCTCAAACTCTTGGGCTTAAACAATTCTCTTGCCTCCTACCAGCTCCAGTGTATGTGGCTGACACCTTAGGTACTGAGCTATAGGCACAGAGCCATGATTTTTTTTTTTTTTTCTGATAATTTCAGTCAGTTGTGCTTGTTTTAGTTCTTTGGCAGTGTTTTAGTAACTGTTAAATTTGGATTTCTGTTTGATCCCTCCTCCCCACCCCCAAAAATGAAGATAGTTGTCCCTGAGTTTTTATGGGGGATTGGGTCTTTGTTTAGTTATTTTTGAGACAGTCTCACTTTGTTGCTCAGGCTAGAGTACATTAGCAGTCGTCATGGCTGACTGCAATCTCATACTCCTGATCATCCTGCCTCAGCTTCTTGATTAGCTGGGATTATAGCATGCGCCACCACACTTGGCTAATTTTTCTGTTTTTTATAGAGATGGGGTCTCGATCTTGCTCAGGCTAGTGTCAGACTCATAGCCTCAGAACATACAGCCTCAAGCAGTCTTCCTGTCGGCCTCCCACAGTGCTGGAGCCACTGCACCTGGCCTGATGCTCAAATTTCTTATATAAAGTGGTATTTGCATCTTACCTATCCACATAACTACTTTATTTTTTATTTTTACTTTTTGAGTCAGTCTCGCTTTGTCACCTGGCTAGCGAGCAGTGGTGATGTCATCATAGCTTACTGAAACCTCAGATTCCCTGGTTCAGGCATTTCTTCTGCTCAGCCTCCTGAGTAGCTAGAACTACAGGCACTCACTACCACTCTCGCCTAATTTTTCTGTTTTTTTTTTTTTTTTTATAGAGATGGGATCTTGCTCTTAAGGCTAGTCTTTAACCCCTGGCCTCAAGTAATCCTCATGGATCTGCCTCCTAGAGTGCTGGGATTACAGGTGTGAGCCACCACCCCTGGCCTGAAGTTCAAGTTGCTTATGTAAAACAATATTTGAATATTATGTATCCTCCCTTATTTATTTAATTTTTGAGATAGTCCTTCTATGTTATACCAGAAAGAGAGAGTACAGCGGCGTCATCATAGCTCACTGCAACCTCAAACTCATGGGCTCAGGTGATCCTCCCACCTCTTGAGTAGTTGGGACTACAGGCTTGTGCCACCACATCCAGCTAATTTATTTTTAGTAGAGACTGTCTCCTGCTCAGGCTGGTCTTGAACTCCTGAGCTCAAGGGAGTCACCTGCCTCAGCCTCCCAGAGTACTAGGATTATACGTGTGAGCCACCATGCCTGACAACCTTTTGGCTTTGATAGTGTTCAGGGCATTTTGATTTATCATTTTGTAATATACGCTTTGATTAAACTTTGTTTTCTTTAAAGTATAT